TTGAATAAGAAATCTGCTCCTGCTGTTGATTCTACTGCTCTAGTTTCCCGTACTGATTTTCGCGGGAATATTGGAGGTGGACGTGGTCGTGGTAGAGGCCCAGGAGGCCCAGGAGGTCCAGTCGGACGTGGTCAGCGACCTCGTTGTCATTACTGTCAGCAACTTGGTCATTATGAGGAACGCTGCTACACAAAGTATCCTCACATGCGACCTTCTTTTGCTGCTAATATAGCTCAATCGGATACTGCTTCAAATGGTACAGTCTCTCTCTCCTCTGAAGAATATGTAGCATTCCAGGCCCTTCTCAGGAAGTCCTCTCCTCAATCTCAGGCCTCCGCTTCAGAAACTGGTAATCCTGTTGCTTGTGTTTCTCATTCTGCATCACTTGGTCCTTGGATATTTGACTCAGGTGCTACTGATCACCTCTGTGGTAATAAGGAACTCTTTTCTTCCCTTACATATTCTGAAAATTTACCCTCTTTTACTCTTGCTGATGGAACTAAGGCCCCCGTTCATGGGATTGGACAAATCTGTCCAACCTCCTCATTGACCTTGACATCTGTCTATTACATTCCTCACATCCCTTATAACTTAATATCTGTTAGTAAATTGATCAATTCTCTTAATTGTATTGTCACATTCTCAAACCAATCTGTTTCTGTGCAGGACCCGGGTACGGGGAAAATGATTGGAGTGGGCCGTGAGTCACGGGGTCTGTTCTACCTTGATGTGCCGAGTCCTTCAGTTGCTTGTTCTCTCACAGAATCTCCACAACTCGTCCACAGTCGTCTTGGGCATCCTAGTCTTGCGAAATTGCAGAAGATGGTTCCTCTTTTATCCGGTCTTCAAACTTTAGATTGTCAGTCATGTCAGCAAGGAAAGCACATTCGCTCCTCCTTTGCTAATCGTGTCAATAAGCGAGCTGATGCTCCTTTTTCAATTATTCGTTCAGATGTTTGGGGTCCTAGTCGAAGTGTGTCTGTTTTAGGGTTTCGGTATTTTGTTACCTTTATTGATGATTTCTCCCGTTGTACTTGGATTTATTTAATGAAAAACCGTTCTGAGTTGTTTTCTATTTATCAAAGGTTTTCTGCTGAAATTCATACTCAATTTGGTGCTTCTATTCGTATTTTACGTAGTGATAATGCTAAGGAATATGTTTCTGTTGACTTTTCTCATTTCCTAGCCACACAGGGTACTTTACACCAAATCACTTGTCCTCACACTCCACAACAAAATGGAGTAGCTGAACGTAAGAATAGACATCTCATTGAGATTGCCAGGACTCTTCTTATTCACATGCATGTTCCTCTTCACTTCTGGGCTGATGCAGTCCTTGCTTCTTGCTTTCTCATCAACCGCATGCCTTCATTTGTGCTTAATAATGATATTCCTCATAACTTATTGTTTCCGGATGTTCCTCTCTTTCCTCTATCCCCACATGTTTTTGGTTGTACCTGTTTTGTTCATGATCTCACTCCTGGTAAGGATAAGTTAACATCCAAAGCCTTTAAATGCATTTTTCTGGGTTATTCTCGTCTTCAAAAGGGTTATCGCTGTTACTCTCCTGATCTCAAGCGTTACTTAGTTTCCGCTGATGTCACATTTCTTGATCGACAACCCTTTAATTCTATCCCATCACCATCGTCACAGGTTGATCATGTTCTTCCTGTTCCTTTTCTTGACTTGTCTTTGCCAGATGGAGTTGCTTCTACTCCAGATAAGCAATCACCTATTGCTCCAGTACCTGAGAACCGTCCACTTCTCACTTATCAGCGTCGTAACACAGTACCTCCAGTCGACTCGACCCCTGCTGACTCATTGCCCCCTGCAGTTGATTCTTCCCCTCCGGATCCTTCACCAGACGCTCTTCCCATTGCTCAAAGAAAAGGTACACGTACTACTCGTAACCCTTATCCTCTTTATACCTTCTTGAGCTATGATCGTCTTTCTCCTCCTCATTTCACCTTTGTTTCTAGTCTTTCTTCTGTTTCTATTCCTAGGACCACAGGTGAAGCACTTTGCCATCCAGGATGGCGCCAAGCGATGCTTGATGAGATGACCGCACTTCATACCAATGGCACTTGGGACCTTGTTTCTGCTCCTCCAGAGAAGTCTATAGTTGGTTGTCGCTGGATGTTTACTGTGAAAGTTGGACCTGATGGCCATGTTGATCATCTCAAGGCACGCCTAGTTGCCAAGGGTTTTACTCAAATATTTGGTCTTGATTATAGCGATACATTCTCTCCAGTCGCAAAGATGGCGTCCGTCCGCCTATTTCTTGCCCTTGCTGCTGTTCGTCACTGGCCACTCCTTCAACTTGACATCAAAAATGCCTTTCTTCATGGTGATTTACAAGAAGAAGTTTACATGGAGCAACCACCTGGTTTTGTTGCTCAGGGGGAGTCTGGGAAGGTATGTCGTCTTCGAAAATCCTTATATGGTCTCAAGCAGTCTCCTCGAGCATGGTTCAGTCGCTTTAGTTCTGCTGTACAGGCGTTTGGCCTAATTCGCAGTAAAGTTGACCATTCTGTATTCTATAGGATTACATCTCCTAACAAGTGCATCTATTTGTTAGTCTATGTTGATGACATCATCATCACCGGAAGTGATCAAGACGGAATCCGTCAGTTAAAACAACATTTATTCAGTGCATTTCAAACAAAGGACCTTGGGAAGCTGCGTTACTTCTTGGGAATTGAGGTGGCGCAATCTAGACAGGGCATTTCTATCTGTCAAAGGAAGTATGCCTTGGATATCCTAGAAGAGACTGGTATGTTGGGGTGTAAACCAGTTGATACACCCATGGATCCTAATGTTAAGTTATTGCCCAGACAAGGGGAGCCGTTATCTGATCCTGGACGTTATCGAAGGCTGATTGGGAAGCTCAATTATCTTACTGTGACTAGGCCAGATATTTCTTTCGCTGTCAGTACGGCCAGTTAGTTCCTTGATTCCCCTTGTGATTCACATTGGGATGCTGCTGTGAGGATCCTCCGATACATCAAAGGAGCACCAGGAAAAGGTTTGTTGTATTCGGATCAGGGAAATACAGAAATTTGTGGTTACTCAGATGCCGATTAGGCAGGATCACCCTCGGACAGACGCTCTACTTCTGGTTATTGTGTCTTCTTCGGAGGAAACTCAATCTCATGGAAAAGCAAGAAACAACCTGTTGTTTCCCGATCTAGTGCAGAAGCTGACTATCGTGCAATGGCAAATACTACCTGTGAGTTAATCTGGTTAAAGCAGTTGATTCAGGAGCTTCATCTTTGTGAACAGAAACAACCCATGACACTCATCTGTGATAATCAAGCTGCGCTACATATATCCTCTAATCCTGTTTTTCATGAGAGGACCAAACATATAGAGATTGATTGTCACTTCATTCGGGAAAAGATTCAGTCAGGAGAAATCAAGACAGCTTTTGTCAACTCGTCTAATCAACTAGCAGATGTTTTCACTAAAGCTCTTAGAGGTCCTCGGGTTGAATACATTTGTAACAAGCTTGGTGCTCATAATATATACGCACCAGCTTGAGGGGGAGTGTTAGAATATTAGATATGGTATGATTAGATTTGATTAGATATGATTGCATTCTGTCTTATCCGTAAATAGTCTGACTGTATTAGGATTAGGTTTGGATTAGGTTTGGGCCTTACACTTAAGCCCATTAGGGTCTCTATATATTGTAACTCCCTGACACAGATCAATATAACAACGTATTCTTTTACATTTTACTGGTTAAGTGAAAAGTATATAAGTGAAAAGACCCATAAACCCAATGCCTTAAGGTTTTGGGTTGAGATGTGGTGTCGAACCCACTTAGTGTATTTGATCCACTTAGCCCATTAGTGTACAGAACCTTGGGATACACCACCCCAAAAGCTAGCTCAAAGGGTGGGAGTGCCCAAGGCCTTATAAACTTCACATTAGTTGCTCATACAACCAATGTGGGACTATATACCTCAACACGCCCCCTCACACAAGAGCTCATTGGGCTTGAAGAGTGGACAATGCAACAGGCCCAGTCTACCTGTGCTAAGAAACTCCACAAAAGAAAGTGGGGGACGGCGAGGCTCTGATACCATGTAAAGAACCTTGGGATACACCACCCCAAAAGCTAGCTCAAAGGGTGGGAGTGCCCAAGGCCTTATAAACTCCACATTAGTTGCTCATACAACCAATGTGGGACTATATACCTCAACACGCCCCCTCACACAAGAGCTCATTGGGCTTGAAGAGTGGACAATGCAACAGGCCCAGTCTACCTGTGCTAAGAAACTCCACAAAAGAAAGTAGGGGACGGCGAGGCTCTGATACCATGTAAAGAACCTTGGGATACACCACCCCAAAAGCTAGCTCAAGGGGTGGGAGTGCCCAAGACCTTATAAACTCCACATTAGTTGCACATACAACTAATGTGGAACTATATATCTCAACACTTAAATTCTTGTCAACAAGCTGGTCTTAATAAATAAGGGAAAAGTGTGTGTCCTTTTAAAGGACACAAACTTATGTCCTTTTAAAAGAGAGATAGACACAGAGGTGAGACCTACACTTTTATTTTTTTTAGTGGGACCCACACTTCTTTGTGTCTATCTCTCTCTTAAAAGGACCTAAGTTTATGTCCTTTAAAATGACACACACTTTTCTCAATAAATAAACCTTTCCTGTTGTCTTTTTTCTTCCATTTTTGCATTCATTACAGTCGAAAATTGTATAGATGTACTGGTCTTGTTTAGGCTACTTCTATAATAGTCTGACATTTGGGAGTGTCAGTTTTATTCATGTACAAATGATTCAAGACGCTTACAAGAAATTTTTGTTTCTCACCTGCAATTTTATGATGTAATGCAGAACTCTAGTAGTTCAGATAATTTTCTAATCTTTATAAATAGAAATATTGCACCTATGGCTCTGACTAAAGTACTTTTGTCATATGTATAGGCTCTGCTACAAATTTTTCTCAGTTAGTGATGCTATCTGTAACTGTGCAGGGTTGGTGTTGCCAATTTTATTACCTTGTTGCTTGAAAGTGTTGGTGTTGACATCAAGCCATATGCAAATATGCTGGTGAGATTATTGTTTCCAGTTGTTAAGGAGGAAAAAAGTACTACTGCAAAACGTGCCTTTGCAAGTACCTGTGCAAAAGTCTTAAATTACATAGCAGCATCACAAGCCCAAAAACTTATTGAGGATACTGTAGCTCTGCATGCTGGTGACAAGAATTCTCAAATTGCATGTGCATTTCTCTTGAAGAGCTATTCATCCATGGCAGCAGATGCTGTTGGTGGATATCATACAGTTATCATTCCAGTTGTTTTCCTTTCAAGGTTATGAACATCCTTTTATTTTTTCTGCTGTGATTTATTATGTTAATATTTATAAATATCCCATATTATATCAATCAAAAATCAAATTTTTAAGCAGAAGTGCTTGCCTTTTGCTGTCAGCCACTATCCTTTAGAATGATTTGTTTGCTGTTCTTCGTGAACATTGGGTGTATCATTTTACCTTAAGTAGTTTATGATGACGGGTCTTCTTGGCTTCATTATGGTATTTATGTTCTGACTTTCTTTGTCTGATATATTGTGGAACTGGCAGGCTTTATTTTGTTTGTATGTTTTACCTTATATTTTCTATTATACCAATTCAAAGGATGCATTATGCTCTTTACTGTTGCACTCTTAAATGTTTTATTAAAATGAAATTTTTTAAGAATGGAGTTGACAAATATCCAACTCTAGGTTACTTTTAGAGGTTCTGATATCATGTTATAGTCCCATTTAGCCGGGACATAGTATCCTTTTTTTGGTCAGTTATTATTGCGGATAACACTAGTTTAAGTTCCTTCCGTGATTGTCAAAGGTACTCCTTATTTCACGTGTACTAAAAAAAATCTTATGCAGATTTGAAGATGATAAAAATGTTTCCAGCCTATTTGAAGAACTATGGGAAGAATATACAAGTGGGGAACGGATCACCCTCCATTTATACTTAGGAGAAATTGTTTCACTTATTTGTGAAGGCATGTCATCATCATCATGGACAAGCAAAAGAAAAGTTAGTCTTACCTTCTGCCCTTGCTGTCATTGTGATTTAACCTCATAGCATTTTGGTCATTTGTGTGTATATATTTGCTTATTTTCTACTGTTCTACCTCCAGTCTGCGCAGGCCATATGTAGGCTTAGTGAAGTTTTGGGTGAATCTCTTTCTTCTCACCATGAAGTTCTGCTTCAGTCTCTCATGAAGGAAATTCCTGGTCGCCAATGGGAGGTAAAACAATAAATTAGCGTGCCTTGGTTGAAAACAATGCCACTAGTTTTTACATGTGACAACCAAAATTATCTTCAAATATCAATCATAGATGAAAATGCTCAAGTTTCATGTGCTTGTTTTACTTACTATATATGACAGGGAAAAGATGTGCTATTGCTTGCATTAGGTGCTCTATCTACATCCTGCCATGAAGCAATTTCTGCCCAAGGTTCTGCCTCTTCCATTGCCATTCTGAATTTGGTATTGTCTGCATGCACCAGAAAGGGGAAAAAGTACCGGGAAGCAGCATTTTCCTCTCTTGAACAGGTTAGCAATTCGTAGTGGGTGCTGGGTGCTGCAAAGTATTATGAGAAAAGCTTTCTCCTTTAGGGTAAATATTGAATTGAAAACCATTTAGATAGCTGATTACAATTAAATCAACCTATTATCCGATAATTCCAAGCTCAAACATATCCCAAATCTTAGCTCTCAAAACAAGCCAAATTTGTTATTTTTCAATTTTTACCAACAAATTACAATCAAATTTGCTGCTTCATTTAAATTAATTTGGTAATGATTGGAATCTGCTAGATTTTAAATTGATGCTTCTTGGAATATGCTTTATTAATTGCTCTTTTGAGTTCCTTTGCTCGAGCTCTCATGGACTGACTAGGACTTGAACTTGTAAAGAACCATTTCAACGCAAAAGCTTAAGTTGTTAAGTGAAGGCTCATCAATGATTTATATACTTCTCTTACACGCCCCCTCACATGAGAGTCCATTGGGCATGAAGGATAGATAATGCATAGTTTCATCTACTTGTGCTGAGAAATTCCACTAAAGAAAGTAGGGGGCGGTGAGAATTGAATCCGTGACACCAAGGCTCTGATACCATGTAAAGAATCATTTCAACCAAAAAGCTTAGGCTGTTAAGTGAAGGTTCATCAATGGTTTATATACTTCTCTAACAGAACTCGAACTGGATCCCTTGATGTCGTGTCCTTATCTGAGTCATAATTGTGCAACCAATATGCTGGACTATTTATTTTTTTTCTCTTTTTTAAAAAAAAACTCTCTATTAAATCCTGCCTAGCGAGGGTGGGGTGAGGGCATTACATATACGAAGCCTTACCCTTGTATAATTGCAAAGAGGCTTGTCCTTGACCCATGATAACAACTATTGTAAATTAAGTCATTTTCATATATTTCTTTATATTTAGATGCTTACCTATTTTTCGTGTGTGTTTCCAGGTTATAAAAGCCTTTGGCAATCCAGAGTTCTTTAATATGGTTTTTCCATTGTTGTTTGATCTATGCAATTCAGAGCCCTTAAAGTCTGGGCAAGCACCTTTGGTTGGTGATATTGCTAAAGCAGGTTATTACAAATTCTAGATTTTCATTTATTTGTTCCCAACAAATTTTGTTCCTCGTATGAGGTAGTTTATGGCCATCAATGAAACATTTAATGCAGTTGGTAAGTTGAAGTGTCTCAAGCTAAGTCGGTTTAGTTTGCCTCTGACTAAAAATTAGTTAGGACTGTTGTTTCTTGTTTGATAAATGCTATGAAACCACCCATCACTGGGGTGTACCGTACGCGCGCATGACTTATAAACAACTCAGAAGGTGTGACTTGACTTGAGTCAGAATGAGGGATTACAGATTAAAAGGGATGAGGGATTCAGTGTATGGGTAGCTTGGTTGAAAGTAAGGTAGTAAGAGGAGAGAATCAGAGCCTCTTGAAAGCTAAGTAGTTGAGTTTCTGTTTGTAACCCTTGAGTATAGTTTTACGGATGTTTTACATGCTTTACCTGATATCAATTACCTGAAGTTCTATCAATACAAGTTTCTGTGTTTCTGTACGATTAACTAGTGAATTGTTCAGATACTTTCTGTGGTTAAGTAATAGTATAAAATACAGCGACAGCCATATCATGAGAGTGATTTTCTTTTTAAATTATGTTCTTAGTCCTCTCTCTTTGACCTGTCTCTTCACAGCCATTGTAGCATTTCATAAGAATGAAGAATTGGTGAAAGGTTCTGCTTTAGGCTTTTTGTTTGTTGGAAATTTTGCTTGACGTTGGTTCTCTAAAACAAGATATTTCCAGCTTCTATTTTACTTTGAAATTTTAAAGCTTCTCTCAGTATTATGTGGTTTGGACAGACATAATTTTTGGGCTTTGTTCCTATGTATAGCTTTTTCTCCCCAAGAAAGAGAAACTGAAAGATTTAATATCCAGTAACTTGCTGAAATGGATTATTATATTTTCCCAGTTATTGTTACTGTCGTAAAGAACCAATTCAACCCAAAAGCTTAAACTGATGAGTGAGGGCTTTTTAATGGTTTTATATATCTCAATACGCCCCCTCACACGAGAGCCCACTAGGCTTGAAGGGTGGACAATGCACAGGCACACCTACCTGTGCGAAGAAAGAAATTCCACTAGAAAGAAAATGGGGGGCGGTGAGGATTGAACCCGGTACACCGAGGCTTTGATACCATGTAAAGAATCAATTCAACCCAAAAGCTTAAGCTGTTGGGTGGGGTTATATTAATGGTTTTATATATCTCAACAACTGTTAAATAGGTTTATATTGATTCCTGAGGTGCTTGAGGTGCTCGATGCTACAGACGCTGCAAATGTTTTGACTGTTATATCTTATTTGCAGAGTTGGACAGCGCCGAAGAGATTTTTGTTCCTCATAACAAAATTGTAGACTGTTTAACCTCTTGTATCCATGTAGCACATATAAATGATATTCTTGAAAAGCAAAAGAGCTTAATGCACATGTTTGCAGCCTTCCTATTACCTGAACATAAATGGACAGGTATTCTTTATTCTTCATTTTTTGTTTTCGAAGCCCTGCCAGGTTTTTGTAATCTTTATTAAGAAATTAATCTTTGTGCAGTCAAAACTACGGCCTTTTTATCCATCAAAGAACTTTGCTCGAGGCTCCACAATGTTAAAAAGGACTCCCACGGAAGTGATGAACTTGCCAGCGTAAATTCCCTTGTTCAGGAGGTAATCAAGGTTCACTTTCAGTTGGACTTCTAATGACTTCAATTCTTGAATGACGTAAAATCAACTTTGTTTTTCTTCAGATGTTTCATGCTATATCACCAAAGGTACTACATTGCATAAGCACAGTAAAAATTGCGCAGGTATTTCACTATCTTGTTAGCTTGAACATTATTCATCAGTTGGATTCCCCTGCCTATAGAAAGTAAAAAACCCTGAAAAGTAATCAGCATTTGTTTTGTATTACTTCTAAGTGAGTAAAATCGTAGATCTGAACGCTAGGCACGTTGGGCGGATTCAATAGACAACACAAATGATTATAGTGTCGTGACAGAAGTACAATTGAAACTGGAAACTCTGCATATTTTCCATTGCATTCCTTTGTTTAAACTTATAGTTTGAGAAACGGTTAGTGAAATATGTTCCAAAAATTTGTCCTGTTCATATTATATATACAGATTTGTTTGCCATCAGTTATATGGAAAGCTTTTTTGTTTGGGTAAAATGTCTTATGGAAAGCATTACATAATGTTTGTTATAGTGGATTGAATTTTTTTCTCCAAACCTAAGATCATTCGAAGAAATGATGAAATTATTTTCACATTTACTGCATATGTTCATATGAGGGTAAACCTTGAGCAGTGATAAAGCTGCTGTTTTATGACAAAAAATTCTCAGGCAGAGTCCTTTTGCGAAAATGCAGGAGAAAAACTGTGTGCTAGAATTTTTCACCCCTACCCTAGCAAGTCAGGGTTTGATGGGAGTTGTTTATTTACGAGATATGTTCATCAGCTCCCATTATGGAATGATATGAAATATATTAAGAATTGAAATTAGTGAAGCATGCATCAGTTGATGAGCGTCTTTCTTCTTTTTGACATGTAGAACTTAGAAGGATGAAGAATTTCAGAAAAGTGAATAAAAGCCCATTAGTCTATTTTATTTTCACCCAATCATTATACCAAATGTGAATACAATGGTTTTAAGTAAATTTAATAGATACATTAAATTTGGTTACCTTATCTTGCAAAAGTGGACTTGGGAACAAAATTTAAGCAAAATCAAAACTTTAGGGAAAATTTTCAATTTCAAAGTTTAAGGAAAAAAATTAACAGAATGACTAAGATTTGTGGACTACAGTTGTAACTTTTTCTTTGCCAACCACGGGCTCTGTTCATCTTTAGCAGGTGGTGATTGGTCCAATACTTTAATTGGTTGTTCTTAATTTTACTTCATCTTCCGCTTTCGTGTGACCAAAAATAGGTTCATGTTTCTGCTTCGGAGTGCCTTCTGGAAGTCATCAAACTTTCCATGGACGTGCCTGTGGTTAGTTCCATAAATGAAGGATTCAAGGATGAGCTCCTTCATCAGTATGAGATAGAGAAGAACGAAGAGGCGAAGTCTTTGTTGAGAAAGTGTGTCAACATTCTTCAAGACTGGAAACAATAAATTGTACGAGCTATAATCCTTGTTTAAGAAATTTTGGGAGGATGAAACGTTTAACAAGCTGATAAATTGCTATACCTCGTGCTTGTTAATAGGTGTTTAATGTAATGGCTAGGGTAAACAGGTCATGTTCAACAATTGTGATGATATATTTAGATGGTAGAAACTCTTTTTCTTGTCATGTTCTTCCATATATTTCGCCCTTTTCATTATTGATACTCCATTCTTATGTAACATCTTCCTTTTCATTATTGATACTACATTCTTCTGTAACATCTTCTTACTCTTAACAAAGAAAGTATTACATAAAAAAGTAAATGTTTTTAATATATTCGAAATCAAAAAAATATTCAATGTTTTCTTTATTTAGTAATTAAAAATATTATTAGGAAGATTGATTAGGAGGATTTATAATCAATTTGAAAAAAAAAAAAAACTTTTCTGAAATGGTTTTGTCTACAATAGTGAATAAGTAGGGGTATATTCCTTAGGAATTTTATTGAGTTAAAGATTACAGAACATTTTAAATTAATTGGGAGAAAAATATCTTTGTTTTTGCAAAAGAATTTTATTTTCTGTTATGATTATATAAAAGTGAGTGAAATTTATTGTAAAGAGAAGAACGAGAAAAAATTAAGGGATTCATTCACTTTCATGTAAGCGTGACATTCTGTCGTAAAAATAGAAATATCAATCCCTTAAATCAACTATGGATGCAATCTTGTTTATTTTAAAAGCGGGTCATCTTAAGTCACTAGGATTTATTTGTCTTTATGTGTTTAATTTTCATTTATATATATAAAAAAAACTGGGTCATCATAAATGAGCTTTTTCAATTATTTTTTAGTAAATTGAATTCTTTCTATTGAAGAATTTGTGTTTTACTCTTTTGTGATGAGAGAAAAATTTTCGGAATTTTTTATTTGTAATTGACTTTTGAACATAATTATTGTTGAGGGGAGTAATAAATCATCTTTACTCTAAAATAATAAATTATATTATTTACGCGCTTATCCATATTCTTTACTTTATTCTTGCATACATAACAAAAATTCGTACTTCGGTACTTATAAAGTCAATATTCAGTTAATTATTTTATGCTAATAATGTTATTTACACATGATGCTTGTCTAACATACAATTATCATTTGCTTTGTTGATTTTATATGTGTGGCCTAACGGATCTCCTTTAATAGGTAGTAAAGTTATTTTCAATAATCTCGATGTTATATTATTGTTATAACAAATAAATTTATTTGTTATTATTGTAAAAATATTTTTATATATATATACTTATTCGTATAACAGAAAAATATTTCTACAGTTACTGCAGATAAGTTATCTGCATTTATTCTCAAAACAACGTCGTTTTGAGATTGAAATATTAAAAAATTATAATTATAAGGACTATAATAATCCTGAAATAAATTAAAATTACAAAAATATCACGATTTTTGCCCCAAAATAACGTCGTATTGAATTTATTGTAGATAATTTATCTGCAGAAAAAGTGAACCCTTTGTATAAATAATTAATTATACAAGGTTAAGTGATTAAATGAATTTTGTGTAATTTTCTCTTTGTTATGTACCATATTAATTCACACGAATAAGTCCTAATAAGTTAGACATGCTGTATTAATTAAATCACATAAGTTATATAATATTTTTATTATTATATATGCTTATATAAATTAATTAAATTACTAATATATTGACACAATACTCCAACCGAATTGATATCCCACTTGAGTTTGATAACATTAGAAATAATATTACTTGTATATATTACTCCATATCTATATAATTTTATGAATTAATTCCAATTGATTTTATTTCGTTTTTTATCCACTCATATTTTAATTTTATCATTTTACATATCTAAAACATGTGAGATGATTTGTTTGGTGCAGCCGTGCAGGTGTGCATCAAGTGTTAATCAATTGTCAATTCATAATGTAGTAAATGAGAATTTTTAATATATGTTCTATTTTTATTTTTATTTTAGAAAAATTCTTTCAACAAAATTTTAATTAAAAAGTATTATAATTATAAAATAAGTTATTTTAAATACACATTAAATAATATTTTACATTAAACCCAATGACGTATATGATTATGCACTTGTTATTTTTATTAGATTAAGTGCAGTAATCTTACTATAAAGAAGGAATTTTTTGGGGAAAAAAATTAAAATATTACACTTTAAATAAATAATTACGAATATATAGCTGTTTTCATATTATTTACCGATATATTGCAAGATTTTACGCTCTGATTTAACGTCTCTGTTCACGCCTCACGCAGGTGTAGGCGTGAGTCACGTAGGTCACACCCCACTTAGGACCACTCACGCCTAGTCCAGCCGTGTGTATGCTGAGTATTATGCCCACTCTGGACGTGATTGCGTCAGATATCCTATATTTAAACTCATCTCTCCTCCACACTCTTCTCCATCACAACTCCTTACTCTTACATACAATCTTACTAGCTTATTCATACTCTCTTATTTTGCTTGTTTATATATCTAAAAAGGGATTTGCATTTGTCATTTAACATGACACAACAAAGTTTCCAACACACACAACATTTTGTGAGGTCTATACTTTTTGAAGAAAAAAGAAAAAGAAAAAACTATGGCACGTAAAACGAATCTCTATAACATTACTCAATCACTTTTCCTACAACATAACTCTTATAAAACCCATCTAAAAATGAGTTTACATTCTAATTCTGTTCGTTTTGTTTTATATTATAATGGTAGAAAAGTGGAAGGTCGATGTGGTGTAACTTTTGAAGGTGAAAAAAGGCCAACACGTATCAAGCACAACTCAACAATTTATGAATTACATAAGAGAATTTGTCAAAAGTTAGCACTCCAATGTAACCAATATCACTCAGGTCACGACAAGACTATGACAATCTGAACAATACATTAGTTTGCAAGTGGTGAATGATGAAGATATAGATATGGTTATGGAATAATTTTTCAACCAGTCAAGGAAATTTTTTTTGGAGTTGTATGTGGATATTGCAGGAGTAGATGATGTTGTTTTACCCAAGAGGTCAATTGCTTTCAATTCTTCACATAATGCATCATTATTTGTTGCTTCAGTTCTTAACATCAAAAGGAAGATGACAATGACCCTACTTGGGTTATAGATGACGACTATGATGATGAGGATGGTGAAAATATCGCAATGGAAGAACTTCTTCTGGCTGAGGATGCTAACGTATGCATATATAATAATTACTAATAATTGTTCTAGGTCACTAATCAAAACCTAAGTCACTATCAATTTACTAAGTCAAACAAAAATCTCTATGCAACTACCAAATTAATTCCTAAGTCACTAATAAATTCCTAGGTCATCAAGTAGTTTCTAAGTCACTAACATATTCCTAAGTCACTAAATAATTCCTACGTTACTAATGACTTAATATGTCTCTAGTATAACATATGGGTTTTCGTTTTATCCTTTAACATAACACAACAAACTTTCCTACACTCACAACATTTTGTGGGACCCACACTTTTTAAAACAAAAAAATAAATAAAAAATTAAGGCACGCAAAACGAATCTCTATAACATTACACAATCACTTTTCTTACAACATAACTCTTATAAAACCCATAACATATATATTGTTAGAGAGAGAGAGTGAAATGGTAAAATGTTAAAAAAAAAAGAATTTATATAGATCAACTCATGCTTGGCTAGGGCGTGAGTGGTCATGCTTAAGTGGGACGTACCTGGCGCTCACACCTGAGTGAGGTCAGGCGTGACCGGTAATACTCAATTAAGACGTGAGATCTTGTAATATATTCGTAAATAGTATAAAAACAAATATATATTTATAATTATTTATTTAAATTGTGATATTTTAAATTTTTTTTGCCGGATTTCTTGAATTAAATATGGCGAAATATATTTTTCACTAAATTATATACATACTTTTAAAAAATAAATTATGAATTTTATAAGAGTTATGTTGTAAAAAAAGTAATTGTGTAATGTTATAGAGATTCGTTTTGCGTGCTGTAATTTTTTTATTTATTTGCTTCAAAAAATGTGGACTCCACAAAATACTATGTGTGTGTAAGAAACTTTTTTGTGTGTATGTTTAACCCATGAATTACAGATATGAATAAGTAATTTGGGTGGGGCTGTTTCTGCATTCTCCGATAAGAAGGGTTTGTAGTAGCAGTTAAGCAGTCAACCATGGATGAAGCTGAATTTCAACGCCTTCTCGAACTCTTCCCGGTTATTCGTTCTCGCGATTACTGTGTACTTCTCTCTCTCTCTTCCTTGTGTTTGTGTATTTAGGGTTTCGAATTTGATGGGTTCTTCTTGAATATTGATTTCTGTTACTCAACATCAGCAATCTCATTCACCTGTTGGTTAAAGTTTCGATTTTTCAGAAACCCATATTGTGATTTTCGTGGCTGCTTCTCTCTAATACAGTAGTAATATACCCGTAGTTTCAGATTGGTGTAATTTGTAGTGTCTGAGGTCATTTGGAAATTTGAGGTGGATGCAACAGAAAGGATGGAATTATTACCACAATATATGAGAGGAGTCTAGTATGAGACCTTAACAGGGTCCAAACATGAATTGGTTGGATTTGATAAGTAAGGATATGGTTTCAGTAGTGAGGTGGGGGAATTCAACTGTACACTAATTGATGCAAAAGAAATTGTATGAAATAGTGTGGTCAGTTTCAACTAGGCATTGAAGTTAGATGCTTTGGCTGGAGCAATGAGGATAAAATTCTTTGGAGGTGTGCAGTGTTTACATTGTCTATGGTGTATTTGGTTTGTGTGGATTACTTCTATACTTTAGGATATATCCATCTCTATGTTGCTATTATGGGGTAATGTTTTTATGGATTCTATTTCTCGCGGTTTTCTTCAAGGGAGTCTCTCTTTTATGGATGCAGCCATATTGGAGAGCTCTTCTGCCTTTTCAAGTTCCATCTTTTGTTGCATTCTTTTCTTTTCTTTTTTTTATACTCCATCCCTTTGTGCATTCTTTATCTTTTTCCTAATAAAATATCTTATTTTATTGAAATTTGAAAAATATTTGTGTTGGCTTTTTTACCAACTTCCGAACCTTGTTAAAGCAATTTGAACTTATTTAAATCTAAACCATCTCTCCTTGTTGTGCTTTTGTTTGAGGGATCATTACAGTACATCACAAAATTATTTTGTGAGTTTGAAATACAGATTCCCACAGCATGCTCTGAAACAATATAATGAAAGATCCACTTTTTAAATTTTAGCCTAAATAATTTACAAAATTATATATTTGAGAAAGCATTTAGGTACCAAATTGACGACTGTTTAATTTCAGGCAGAACCAGCATCATCCAGACAATTGGCATCTGGGTCTGCAAGCGATGAGGTAGAAGTGTTGAAACTGCTGTATATGTTTATGTATGTATATATATTTAATGCTAGCTAACAAACTTGTCACTGCAGCTAAAGGAATGGCAAGATGCATGGGATGAAAGGGATAAGGACTTGGAGAATCAAGGAATTAACCAACATGGTATCACATATAACCTTTATAATTGGTCAAATTTAATCTGTCTAGTTACATAGGGACATTTTGATCAACTTTATTTTTCTAGGAAGTGCATCGAAGTTCACGAGTTACTTGGCAATTAGTGAATTATTTTTTTATTTCTTATAACAATCTACACAATTGTGTTTTCAAAATTAATGCTGTGTTGATGTGAATTCTTTAAACCTACAGATTCATTTTGGAGTAAGCTAAAGTCAGAGGTCGCTAGGAAGGTATTTTGAAATTCACCAATTTGTTAGTATTTGCATACTGGTATTGTATTAGAATTAGCTTCATTGTTAAAATTATTAAAACGGAAACAAAGTGCATGTTTATTGGAAATTTTCTTATGCCCTTGTTGAAGTCCTTCCTTACTTTTCGAATCTATACAAGAATAATCGGCTTTAACCTCAGAAGATTGAAGCTGATTATATAAACTTTTAATTGAAACTGATTGCAAACCTATGCGGATTTTCTTTTATATTCAATTCTAAAGGTTTCTTTCTCTGACCACACTTTCAGCCCAGTTTAACTTACTTTGCGTAAAGAGTGTTGGATGGAGGGAGAGATACATCGATTTTCATTTATGCCTTAGTTATTATTTTCTTAGTTGATAAAACCCTAATTCTGTATCTTCACTTTATTAAAAAATGTTTTTTTATTGCTTGTACCATATGGGATGCAATAAATAAGTTGAGGCTTTGCGTTATTCCTTCCTGACGTAGTAGGCTTGATTTCCATGCTCAGTTGAAAATTTCATTTAAGGATGGACCTTTATTTTGATGATTTTGTAAAGATAGGAGATGAGCATTCTAACGTAATGGGGAAAAGGATTTTGTTGTTATTGGAGAGAAGCATTCTAAGTGACATTTCTTTGTATGGACAGTTTTTAGTTTTCAGCATTTTCTCTTTTCCATGAACCTGTTTGTCAGGGTTCTAGGTTAAACCTAGATTGTTACACACACTGCACACAGATGTTAGAGAAAAAATAGAAAAAAAATGGAGGGGCATGGGGAGCTGGTATTTCATAGTATCTCTGCGATAACTTTGATGGTGATTTTTCAGAGGATTTATGTCATTTATGATTTACCAGTGTTTGTTAATGAGGCTCTCAGCTCATTGGTTCTAATGTTCCAACAGGTTGGCACAGAAGAAGCGGAGAGATTTTCCAAGGCATTCCAACAAATTCATAAGAAACTGGTATGTGCAAAGTAATTGTGTCATTTAGGCTATTGTTTCATAGAAAATATTAATGAAGATATATTTTGTAGAAGGTAGTTTGTGGAAAGCATTTTTGGTGAAGCCAAAAAAATTTATTGTGTGAAAAAATTATGCATCCATAAAAAGATATTTATTTATGAAATGCAGTTTTCCTTTTTAGGGGTCTTCTTGAAGGATTTTCTTTTTTCGATTAGGAAAATAATTTTGTAAACTGCAGAAACTTAAGATCATTTTACATGTTTTGCCACAAATATAGAAAATAATACATTTTCTCCATGGAATTACAGAAAATGAAAAAATAAAATAAAAAAAATCTCAAATGTTTCTCATGAAATAATAGATGAAAATTTCTTTTCTTGTTTTAATTTTTTTCCCCAATATATTTAGGTTTATGAAGAGTTGAATTTAGATGCTGCTCGAAGCTTCATAAACTCATCCTAGAGTTCGAAAGAATTACATGCAAGCATCCGATATTTCCTTGTGATTCAACAATCAGCAATTGTAATTCTTTTATAATGTATCAAATTATTTGTCAAATTAATTATCTGTTAAACTGTGACATTTTGAGTAGTAATTATTTACTATATTGTATTGTGAACAACTAGTGTTCTTCCACCCTCTTCTCCTCTCTTTTTTTTTTTGGTAATTATTCTCCTCTTCTTTTTTCTTAAGAAAAACCTGTTCACTTGTTTGAACTTTCATGTTTTTTATTGCCTAAAAGCTGGACTTGAATCCTATTGTTTTAGAATTATAGAATGTATAATCATGCAAGTGAGGGAGTTCATTTCTTAAATAATACCCATAACTACATTTAAATCTGCATGTGCAAAAGAACTAAAACTGTGGCATTAGTTTGTGACTGTTGGGACTTGGGATGGTCTATAAAATAAATTATAGGGTCTAAGGTTGCGAAAATTAAAAACAGAGATAAATATTACATTAATTTGAGAGAGGGTAGACAGAATAATTTGTCAGATGTATGATATTTGTCTCTACAAACCAAATAAGAAGAGACTTGGTAATAAAGAGAATCACACTCGTCACTCCTGTCTTTCTTATTTTACCATGGAAAACAAGATAATCAAGAACTAGTTACTTATGTGGATTGGTTATGAAGCAGGTATGTATTCAATATTATAAAATAAGAATACTCATAAGATAATTAAAACAATCAAGAATCAGTTACTTATGCTGATCACTTATGAAGCAGTTTTATTGAAGAATTATCAAATAACAATACTAATTTTAGAAATTAAAAGCTAAACTCTTGTTTAGTGATAATTTGTTATACTGATATGCTCACAGCTCTATGTGAGATATTTGATTGATTATTTAATATATCTTGAATGTCTATGTTTATGTCCTGGAAAGATATATATATATCCGAAAATTCAAGATATCCAGGCATTTAGTATCTTATAAACAACTTGGCGAACATAAAGAGACCTTGAAGTTGAGTATTTGATTTGAATATGTTAGTTCGCCACCAAACTATCAAAGTCACATTAATGGTGTATTTTACTTTTGTTGTTGATTTTTGCTACACCAAAACCAAATCAAAAAAATCACCCGTAGTAGTAGTTCGGTTGTGGGATTTTAGTTTTATAATAGAAGCTCACAAAATATAATGTGTGGGATTTTACTTGATAATAGCAGCTTACTGTAATATTCCAGGAAAAATAGTAAAATAAAATTAATAATAATAGTAATAAAAAAATAGTATATACCTTATGTATATCATAATATTAAATACAAAAGATAAGAATGAGGTAGTTACGAGTCATCAATATTTTATCTAATAAATATAATAGATAAAGATGATGAGTTAAGCCCATATCACGAGCCTATTTCGGGAAGGAAAACTTCAAGTATAAATATGAACTTAACCTAATTAAACCAAATCACTTCCATTTTCTACACCTCTTCATTTCCCTTCTCCTTTTTTCTTCTTATTTCCAACCCTTTTCAATTTCTATTGTTATTATTTTTTTCTTAGCTACCAATTGCACTTCCCCTCACGAATCTCTCTTCTTCCAAGGAAACCTTCAAACATGTAGTCTAGTTAATCCTAATTCTTGGGAATCCTAATGAATCGCTCTTCTTCCAAAAAAAACCTTCAAACACGGAGTCTAGTTAATCCAATTTCTTAGGAAATTCGGAGTCTAGTTAATCCTAATTCTTAGGAAATCGTAGGATGGTTTTATTTGAAATTTGTTATACATAAAACTTGATCCTTAGGGTGTATTTGGTACAAGAGAAATTTTTTTGTGTCCGGGAATCATGATATCCAATAATATACAAAGAAATTCAATTGACTGGGAATGATATAAAAAAGTTGTTTGGTAGACATAAAAATTACCGGAAATATTTAATAATTTTACTAAGTATATGTTTAGTTGTGAGTAAAATATTACTAGTAATATATATTGATGTGTGTTGGGGGGTATTATTGTCTCAAAAATATGTTATCTGATTTCCCTTCTCTCAGTAATCATGAAAATCGCCTAATTTTTTTGTAATCCAAACAATAATTTTTCTTTGTAAAATGCTTTACCGGTAAAGCTTGGATACCCAGGAATTGATTTTTGATACTTCTACCAAACATGAGAATCGATGTTTACCAAAGAAGGTTTACCGGTAATCCTTCTGATACCCTTATACCAAACACCACCTTAGGGTATCACTGGGTAGTTTTATATTAAAATTGTTATCGATCCTTAGGGTATTATAGGTTAATTATATATTGTTGAGAATTTTATTGGATTTTATTTTGACCTCTAAGAAATCGTAGGTTAATTATATATGAACATTGTTGGGTTTAATTTTTACCTCTAGAAAATAACAACATTAATTATATAATTTTGGTATAATCCTAATTCTTTAATTATAATAAGTGGAGAGACTATGGATAATTGATAATGTGTAATATGAATTTTATTCTTGATAAGATGATTGGATAATGGATTATGTGTGATTTGGGATTTGATACTCTCTAAGGAAATTTTCCAAATATGTGATTTGTTACAAGATTGAATTCTTTTAATTATGGGTGATTGTGATAAAATAATGGTGAAAAAATAGCTTTTGGATGTCCTGAAAGTGATGAACACAACCTTATGATTCATGCATTCGATATTATATGATACCTTATGATTCATGCCTTTGATATTATATGATACCTTATGATTCATGCCTTCGATATTATATGATGTGACAATAATGTTATCCGTTCTTCCCAAGTTGGGCTCATGATATGAGCTTGACTCATCTTTATCTTGAGAGGAAAAAGGAAAAAATAATAACAATATAAATTGAAAATGGTTGGGAATAAGAAGAAAAATGAGAAGAAAAATGGACAGGTGCAGAGAATGAGAGTGATTTGATTTGATTATATTAAGCTCCTATTTATAGTTAAAGTTTTTCTTCCCAAGTTGGGTTCATAATATGGGCTTATCTATTGTATCTAGAGTAAATACCCCTTTTGGTTTCTCAACAAGAAATATGAAACTCATTTTAATCCCTCAGAACAAAAAAGTCGATTTGCGGCCTTTTTGAAATTCGAGTTCTTTGAAATTATAGTCTCTCAGAAATTCAAAAAAAACCTACATTACTCCTTCAAAAAGGACTAATATAGATACTTTTTTTATGGGATTAAAATGGGTTCCATATTTTTGTTAAGGACCCAAAAAGATATTTACTCTTGTATTTATTAGATAGTATATTGTTAATTAGTGATTGACTAATTTTTATTTATTAAATATGATATTGTTGATTCATGTCTGACTCATTCTTATCTTTTGTATTTAATATTACGATACACATAAAAATATGGAAAAAATGTTTGTCATTTTAAATAACATAAAGTTATATCATTTTAAGAGAGAGATAGACACAAGAAATTATTTTTTATTTAAAATTTAAATTAAAAAAAAATCACCCACTTTCTCTCCCATGATTTTCATTTCTTGTGTCTATCTCTCCTAAAATGACATAACTTATGTCATTTAAAATGACAAACATCAAACCCTAAAAATATATACTATTATTTTTATTATTATTTTTCCTCAAATATTACACTTACAAAATAGAATTTATATTGTTCTTCGTAAACTGATGTACCGTGCATCTTTTGATGTGTCTTTCACGTCTTTTTATATGTTCAATTCATAAAGTAATTAGTTTTCAAAAAAAAAAAAATCATAAAGTAATTAAATACAATGACAAAGATATTGTAAACATCAAGGGCTAAATGATTCAATTTAAATCCTACTAACTATTATAATTTTCTCCAATGAATGCCTCATTGTCTATTCAATTAATAAATTTCAATACATTTTTCATACCATATCTTTTGTTTTTCGTCTAGCGAACTCAATATTCATTCACTATTAATTAAGGGTTTTATAAGAGTTATGTAGTTTGAAAAGTGATTGTGTAATATTATAAAGATTCGTTTTGCATGCCGTAATTTTTTTTCTTCAAAAAGTGTGAGCTCCACAAAATGTTGTGTGTGTAAGAAACTTTTTTGTGTCATGTTAAATGATAAATGCAAATCTCATTAATTAACGATATTAAGTTTGAAAGTTTTTTGAAACTTTCAATTATAAGTATAAAAATAAAATTAAACTTCATTTTCATTTTCATTTTCATAATAAGAAATTAAAAGAGCAAGATATTTTATTTTGTAACGTAACCTAATAAAAAAATTTCACATATACAGCGATACTAGGAAGTTTGAAACGTATCGCTGAAGTTTTCACATAAAAAAATTTCACATATTTTATTTTATACTATTAATTAACGATATTAAGTTTGAAAGTTTTCTAAAATTTTCAATTATAAGTATAAAAATAAAAGTAAACTTCATTTTCATAATAAGAAATTAAAAGAGCAAGATATTTTATTTTGTAACGTAACCTAATAAAAAAATTTCACACATACAGCAATACTAGGAACAGGAAGAACTATATTGTATAAAATAATAAATTTATTTATTTAACTTAATTATTCATTGAGCCAAGAAAAGGTGTTAGGCACGACGATTTAAATAAGAATTTCAGTAACAAGTGTTTCAAGGGTATTTGTTAAGAAACAAAAATCAAATAATATTTAAATTTTAATATGTTAAATTTTTTACATTTAATTTAATATTTCAAATTTTAATTTTTTTTAACAATTTGCTTGAAACCCTCATTAATATATTTGCATATAGTGAATGTTGACTCATGTACTTAGTTGGCCTTTTGTTTCTGTTGTCCTATTTTGGTTTAGCTGATAGTTGAGAAGGATAAAAAAGGTACTTCTCGATCACGCTCAGCAATTCAAATAAAAAGTTACAAAACAAAAACTAATTATTTTTTATAATTTTTTCTAACTTTGTATATTTAACATATAATTTTTTGTTATTTCTATTAACCTATCAGCAAACAGAAATTGTTCATATAAGAATACTTTTACTAATTACGTAAATTTAATAATATATTTTTTTTTAAAAAAAATTGTATGTCTCTATTAATAATTTAAACTTTTTCGTGTCTTAAAATTAAATAATCATTGCTGGCCGTATTTGCCATTAATTTTCCCATTTAAAAATTGCATAATGGATGTTGACCGTGACCCTTCATTCCTAGTAGTTGGTTGGTGGTAGTTGCCGAACAAGAACAACTACTAGGAATAATATCTAACACTCTCCTTTTCACTTTTTGTGTAGAAATAGAAAAACTGAAAAACATGAAAGAAATGTCCAAAAAATAAAAAATAAAATAAAAAATGAAAGATCACATAATCAATCTATGTTCAAACTTCAAAGATCCAAAATTATGAGACATTTGAAGAAAACAGAAAAATAAATTATTTTTTTGTAAAAAAAAAAACCGGGGAAAGAACATAGCAACTAACTACCAACCGAAAACAGAAAACTAGTCCCTCTCCTCTATCTTTATTAAATTCAAAGTAAGTCCGTCCTCACGTTCACCTTCTCCTTCCTACCCTTCTTCTTCATCTACCTTCTCCCTAAGTTACACACTCTCCATTTACCCCCAATTTCTAGGGTTTCCCTCTTCCATTCCCCTCCTTCTAATTCTTTCTCCATTTTTCCAGGTCTGTCTGCTTCTTTCCATTCTCTATTCTTTTGGGTCAGAAGGGAATTTGTCAATCAAAGTCTAAAGTACAAAAAAATTGATTTTTTTTTCTGTTCATTGAGTATTGTTGTTTCCTTTTTGAGCCTTTTTGCTTTGGGTTAATTCATTTTACTTGTTTTACTTGTTATTTATGATTTTTTATTTTATTTTTTATTTTTTTGGAGATGGGTGTCAACTTTCAACTGTGAGTTATGCCTCTTTGTTTTTCTTGTGAATTGTAAACAACTACAATTTAAAATCCCAGAAGCACAATTTGTCTTTATGATCACAAACAGACAATGCCTATATTTGTTTTGCAGAGTTTTTATGTTCTTGATCTTAAAAAGGCTACATCTTCTCATTTGATACTATATGCTTCTAGAATTAATAAAAAATAAAAAATGAAGCTTTCACTTGATGTTGAGATAATTCGAACAAAACAAGCAAAATTATATGAGCTTATTAGAAAATTGAATACTAGGATATATACCTGGCTGATGAATATATTATATGCGATTACCTTTTTGTGACTAAGACTATCCTTGTTTGAGTAGGTGGAAAATGGGCAATGAAAATCACTTAACACATGCTTAGTATAAGACAAATGTGGGAATGTTGTAAGTGGGGTGCAACTCATTTACATTCCAACCTAATCCTATAGCATGAAAGTGAGTTGAAAGTGATTTTCTGCCCTTTCGGTGCAGCAAGGAGTTGAGGATTGAAAATTAAAACATTTTCTATCAAACTTCATTTTCACTTCCCTCCACATTTCCCACCTGTTCAGACAAGCATAGCCTTAGTCAATTGCAGCTGATTATGATTCTGTTTCCTTTCTTTGTCTATGGAATTTTACTTTACAAAACCAGTTCTTGCAATGCTTTTTTTATATGATATAGCATCATCTGTAGTAAATGGATTTTACAAAGGGCAACTGATTTATGTTGCAATTTTAACTGATTGCAAAGCACAGCCTTAAGCCGTAAGAGTATTACTTGCCATTAAATCTCACTGTGAAGATGAATGGACACTTAATATGCAGATAAAAAATATGTATCCCCTTACAATCTGGACATAATAGTAGCTAGTAAGGCTTTAAATAAGTTCTTAATGCACAGTACTTACTCTCAAACATCTTTTACCAGTTCCCTATAATCCGTCCTACTTCACCATGTCAAGTTTGGAGGAACCACTTGGTCTTGACAAGTTGCCAAGCATGAGTACCATTGATAGGATTCAGAGGTTCTCGTCCAGTGCTTGTCGCCCCAGAGTAGATAACTTGGGCATGGGAAACTGCTGGCTTGAAGGACAAAGTTGTAGCACATCTAACAGCTGCAAGTGAGTCAATTATTGCAACCTCTTTTACATTATAATCATTGTTTTCGCATATTATTTAATCTGTTACCTGGCCACTATATCCATAACACAACCTTCTGTATATTTTGCAGTGAAGATGATGAAGAGTGTACAGCAGAGACATTCCCATGGAAAAGACAAACAAGAAACTTGTCCCAACATGACTCCTTCAGTCAAAACACTATGAAGAAAGGGAGGAACTCAATGAAATTTGGAATGATTGATGACTCATTCTCCGATTGCCAGTATAGTAGTCTAAAGTGCAATAACAAAGATATGGAAGATTCTACATATAAAGTAATTCAGTGGCTGCAATATTTTGTGTTTCAAGTTTAATTTTTCAGCTATTAAATTAGTTATTTACATTTTTCCTCTTTGCATTTCCAATTATGTATTAGATTTTCAAACTTTCTTTTGCTGGTTTATTTTATCATATTTATTTGGCTGGTAATTAGCATACTTACAATTTTTAATTGGATAATGCCACAATGCAGTTTCTGAAAGGTATACCAAGGTTTGTGAAGATTGTAGAAGTTGGTCCAAGGGATGGATTACAAAATGAGAAGAACATTGTACCTACAGCTGTAAAGATTGAATTGATTCATAGACTTGCTACTTCTGGGTTATCTGTTATTGAGGCTACAAGTTTTGTATCTCCCAAATGGGTCCCACAGGTATAAAAGCCTTTACCTTATTTATTGTAACTTGGTATTGATGGTTTTTTAAGAATGATAGTTGTGGTAAAACTTCTCCAAGGTGCATTTATCTGACATTAGTTCTCAATCCCATGGATCAACAGATGTTTAATATGGATGACATATTGGATAAAAGCCAATTCAACTATAGAATTTTGAATGACTTTTACAGTTGTCATCTTTTCTTATTCATTCCATGACCATGTTTTTTTTAAATCATTTTGTTTCTTTGTCTTCTAGTTAGCTGATGCAAAGGAAGTAATGCAAGCAGTTCATAACTTGGGAGGAATCAGATTGCCAGTTCTGACCCCTAATTTAAAGGTACATGTATCAGAAATTAGAATAACCATTAATAGGAAGATTTATATTCAGATCTCTGACCTGTTACATCTATAGGGTTTTGAAGCTGCTATAGCAGCAGGTGCTAGAGAGGTGGCTGTTTTTGCATCAGCTTCTGAATCATTTTCCAAATCAAACATTAATTGTAGTGTTGAAGAGAGTCTTGCTCGTTATCGAGCTGTTACTCGTGCTGCTAAAGAACTCTTAATTCCTGTTCGAGGGTATGCATTTTATTTTCTTTTTAATTATTTTAAGATTCTGTTGAATATCATAGATACAAGAGGAAATGATAGTAATCCTTGTTGTATTCAACTACACAACATTGGTGCTATTATATAGCAAACCAATTGAAGAATACAAAGAGACACACTCAATGTGGGACTTCTACACTATTAACACTAACACTCTTAACACTCCCCCTCAAGCTGTAGCATATAGATCATATGCTACAAGCTTGATACATAAATAATACTCTTATTAGGAACCAAAAACAACAATGCTACATCAACGAAATGAAATGACTAAGTACAACAAATCAACTGGAATGACCATCAGTCTGAAGAGCTGATAAAGAGACAGTGCTGGAATGGACAGCAAAGCATGGATGGTGCCGGAATTATCATCGGCAAAGACAACTGAGCTGACCAGGACATCAGCATCAAGATCCCTCTCAGACATTTCATTTAAATGTTGGTGAGCAGCCGTGGTTTCCCCTTGACTATGCTACAAGCTTATTACAAGAAAGACCAAGTAACATAACATCAAAATAAATCTCCTAAATGAGAAACCAAAAATCAATAATGTGCTAAAAATGGCGTCGAAATGAACATCAACATGGAAAATGCCGGAATGATCATCGGCAAAGACAATTGTGCTGGAATGACCATCAGCAACATGGACGATGCTCCCCCTCAAGAGGAACTTCTAAACAGTGCTGGAATTATCATCGGCAAAGACAATTGTGCTGGAATGACCATCAGCAACATGGACAGTGCACCCCCTCAAGAGGAACTTCTAAACAGTGCCGGAATTATCATCGGCAAAGACAATTGTGCTAGAATGACCATCGGCAACATGGACAGTGCTCCCCCTCAAGAGGAACTTTTAAACAGTGCCGGAATTATCATCGGCAAAGACAATTGTGCTGGAATGACCATCAGCAACATGGACAGTGCTCCCCCTCAAGAGGAACTTCGGTGTCGGAATTAACATCAGCGGAGACAACATCAGCAACTTGGACAGTGCTCTCCCTCAAGATGGATGATGAATAGTATAAAAACTCCATCTTGGGAAGAAAGAAGATTAAAGAAAAACAAAGCTTCGCGGAATCGGAAAATTCGCCGGAGACGGCGGTGGGTCGTCGGAAAAGTCGTCGGAGACGGTGGTGGATCGCCGAAAAAGTCGCCGGAAAGTCATCGGAAAAGTCACCTGAAAAGTCGCCGGAGACGGCTGTCAACGGTGGACAACGCGGTCAACGGTGGTCGGTCAACGACAACGGTGGTCAACCCAACAACTTCCCAAGGATCATTCTTTTCTGATGTGACAGATCAGTCTAAGCTGCAGTCACAGAGCATACTAAGAAAAACCCGAAAAAGAAATAGCAACGGGAATCCCTCAAGGAGGGTGATATCTCTCTATAACCATATTGAAATTATGGAAAATAGAACTAAGTTAAACGGATTAAGATTTCTTTTGTTAGGCTCTAGATACTATGTTAAATATCATAGATACAAGAGGAAATGATAGTAATCCTTGTTGTATTCAACTACAAAACATTGGTGCTATTATATAGCAAACCAATTGAAGAATACAACGAGACACACTCAATGTGGGACTTCTACACGATTAACACTAACACTCTTAACAGATTCCATCATATAATTGTCCGCTTCAATACTTGTTAGTATGCATTTGTTTCATCAATTTCCACTTTTTTTTTTTTTCTTGATTGATATCTTATGAAAGAGTTGCAGTTACTGCCCTGCAATTTCTCCTTTGTTATTTTGGCAGTACCTGTTTGAATTTACTGAATAAGATATTTCATATTGATAAAATATTTCTATATGCTACTCTTCCAGGGTATCTATTGCTGTATTTCAGAAATATGCATATGCAGATGCAACTACAGTAATATATATATATAAAAAAATATTTTTATAAGCTACATTTTATTTTTTATTTTTTTATCGAGCAAGACCTTTCTTGGTTTATTTAAAAGGTGACCAGATCAAGGTCTAATAGTTGGATGCATGAAAGTCCCTTTGTTTGATATTGTAAATTTAATTGACACAAATTCTGTGTATTCCAAATTCAAATTAGTTTCTTTGTATTGAAATATTATAGGTATGTATCATGTGTTGTTGGATGCCCAGTGGAAGGACCAATTCCTCCCTCAAAGGTGGCATATGTTGCTAAAGAACTATATGATATGGGTTGCTTTGAAATCTCCCTTGGTGACACAATTGGAGTTGGAACACCTGGTAAAGAGTTGGATGAATTTTATTTCATCTTTAAAATTCAAGTTCTCCATGCTTGAATATGATCTTTGTATTCATGTTGTTATCTGTTCATTCTGTTATGTACAGGAACTATAGTTCCTATGCTTTTGGCTGTAATGGCTGTTGTTCCAGTAGAGAAGCTTGCTGTCCACTTCCATGACACTTACGGGCAATCCCTTTCAAATATTCTTGTATCCCTCCAAGTAAGTCATCAACTATTGTTGAGGAATCCAAGTTTGAATGATTGAGTGAAAAAAGTTTCACATTGGTTAAGAATAGACTAAGTGAGCACCATATAAGTGGAAGGACCCATGCACTTAATACCTTCAGGTTTTGGGTTGAATTGTGGTATTCCGAGCCACTTAATTGTGGTGTTCTCAACCCACCTAATGTTACTGCTCACTTGACTCATGGTTGGCAGTCTCTTCCCGCCATGAGCTCCCCCGTGCACGGCCCAACAACTATTAGGATTTTCGACTTGCTTGTCTTTTGGTGTATAAAACATGGAAAAATAATTTGTCTGCCACTGACACAGTTTTCTGCAATGGGACCCATAAAACATAATTGAATTTCTTTCTATGCATATATAAAAGTACTAATTGATGCCCTGGACATTGAATTAAAGTTAATTAATGGAAGCAATCTACAACCCAATATTTAATCTCAATTAAAAACATAGTTTGTTTTTGCTTATTTCATTTAAGTAGGTAATCAAAGAGTTTCAATTCCGTAGGATTCAGATTTTTATAAGCAAGCTTAAACCGTGTCTACATTTCATCCTTTGGCACTCTTTGTAAACAACCATTACATTAATGATTTTATATTATATTTCTCTAACACTCTTTAACAATCATTAATGAATATCAATTTGTATTTAAACAGATGGGGATTAGTACAGTGGATTCCTCTGTTGCGGGTCTTGGTGGGTGTCCATATGCTAAGGGAGCTTCAGGAAATGTAGCTACTGAAGATGTTGTGTACATGCTGAATGGGATTGGTGTGAAAACCAACATTGATCTTGGAAAGCTCATGTTGGCTGGGGAATTCATCAGCAACCATTTGGGGCGACCCTCCAGTTCAAAGACTGCCATTGCCTTGAGCCAAGTCACAACTCACAACTGATGCTTCTAATATATATATATATATATATATATATATATATATATAAATAATAGTATAAGGTGTACCATAACAATTTACATTCATATGATATGCTTCAAGCAGTGACATATGATCACTTCATTTCCCTTTTTTTCTTCAATATATATACTTGTAGAAGAGGAATAAAAATATGTTCACTCACATGGATGAGTTTTGGGAAGGAAGAAGTACTGCATTCAATCTGGCCAATAATAAGTGCAAGCTATCCTCATTTGAAACTTGCCATTTTTCCCCTATTGATTTTCTGCTTCACACTTTGGTTAAACAACATAAATTACTTCAAACATGCATTAAAATTAAAAAAAATTAAAAACTCATAATCATATATAAATTTAAACAATTCGTGTAATGCATGAACAAGTAACGAGTTGATAATTGATGGTTAGTAATTGTCAAAATATTTTATTTACTTGAAATATAAATATAAGAAAGTTTTTTTGAATTTATTTTAGTAATATAAAATACATGACTGGATTTTAATGGGTGGCATTGCAATTTAACATGAGGATGTGCTCCATATGATTGGGCCTTAGGCCCTAGCCTTACATGATTTTACTTTAACCCAGGGAATGAACAAAGAAGACTAGTTGGAAAGTATGGCTATTTGAACTTCTTTTTTTTTTTTTTTTTTTTTTTTGAGTAATTTCAAGGGTTTCCTCCCTGTAATTGAAAATTAATCCCTATCGAGTACTAATGGACCTCTTCGGGGGCGGCTCTCCCAAATCTTTTTTTCCATTCCCAGGCAATGTTATTAAAATCGACTCGGTCGAGGTACTGGGTTACTGGTTCAATCAGTGGGTCACTGGTTGAACTGCATGACCCGGTGATTATATGTAAATCTATAATTTATATTAAAAAAATTATAAACATACTCAAATAGCTGAAAAAATAATAAATTATATATTATTGTCCAATAAAGAATCAAACAATCATATAATGCTTGTGACACTAGAGTTCCAGATTCAGTAAATAACATATCTAATTATAGATCAAATCAAAATTCTCTGCATAGTGCATAATTGAGATAATATTAGTATTGTAGATACATAACCTATGTAAGTCAATAAGCAAAAGATCACTCAAATATGTCAATTATGAATGTTTTTTTTTGGAATTTTTTTTTTGGAAATATGTATTTTTAAATAAACCAGGTCGGGTCATTGGATCTGGTACTTAGTCGATCCAATGTGATAACCGGACCGGTCAAATAATCGATTCACGGATTCCGGGTCGACCTGGCAAGTCCGGTCTGATTTTTACAATATTGTTCACAAGGCTCGAACTCAAGATCTTTGGTTAAAGAGTTCAAGCTCCTTACCACATGTGTCAAAGGAGTTTGGTGCAACTTAGATCAACTACACCAACTGTTTTATCTACCATTTTTAAGAAGTAGAATTACTATTCAATCACTGCTCGCCTCTAACAACAGCAAAGGCCCCATGCATGCCTAATTATTTCAGAAATTTACCTCAAGGTAGAGATAATTTCATTGTAGGAGACTTAGGAGCCATGGCCAAGAAGCCATGTCACCTTTTTTATAAGTAGAAACATTTGAGATCCCAATTATGATATAGGGGAGCCATGACTTTGACCGGTAAAAAAAGGAACCAAAAGCAAACAGCAAAGTAAGAAAGCGAGTTGCTTTTACTTGTGCACCAATTTATTTCCTTGCCTTAATCATAACCTTATGTACTCAACAAATTGTCTGATTATTTATTTATTTATTTATGTTTAATGTGCTTGTTGTCATTCAAAGGCTCAAAACTACTTATATATCACCATAGGAAGACGATCACCTTAGCCCCTTTTCTCAACCTTAACTTTGAGAGTGGTGGGTGTCTGTCATCATGGTGCAGGTTTTTCTTTGATAATGCCATAATTGAGTTTTGTGAGTGTCATACAGATAATCTGTTTACCATGCATGGTATTCAAGACTTGAACGAAAACACAAGTGCATTAAATTTTAAGTGGTCGCACCTACTTTTTAATTTTAATTTCAAACTGATTCGATGTTACAAAATAAGGAGAATTTTATTTTTCTCCTTATTTATGTGTCTCTCATGATGATATGATTCAAAATTTGAAATCTTTTTAAAATATGTAATGCTTAATAATTGCAATCTATCTCTATTCAAAATGTTACGTCGAGAATGTTAAATCTTAAATTATAATTTGTTACCATGCTAGTATCACCTTCACCCTGCAGGTAAGGTAGGATATTATGATAATACGACCCCAACCATTGATTATTATATTTGGAAAATCCTATATAGCTAACTTTATAATATCCTATGGCTAAGCTAAAAAAAATTAATAAGAAGAAAGATCGCAATATCAAACTATATGTAAATATTAAATAATAACTTATGTTTGTATGTGTGTTTGTTTTGGGAATAGGGAGGAGAATGACCTGTCTGGCTAGTTCACCAATTCCCATTTTCCCATGGAGAGTGATTACAGAAATTTGTGCTTAGGTCCAAGTGATCAAATACTTGTTATAAAAATCATGTCATCACATTCAAATAGAATAAAAGGCAGATGTAAAGGAGAAAAGTGTGTAATCTGCAAAAGTAGATTTTTCAATATATTCTGCCAAGTTTTTCTTGTCATAAAGCTAAGGGACCTTCCATTAGAGGGGCTAAAACAGTTTAAAAAATGTCCACAACCAAAAGCCATGAACTTTTTCACATGTGTAAAGCGAATGAAGACAACATCATTTTTTGTGAGAAAAAGATACATGCATTCATTGTCTCCATTTCATGGCTTATTTGTCAAACCCCCACCAGTTTGACCAAATTATTACTTTTTTTTCTTTTTTCCATAAATCAGGCTACAGAGAAGCATTATTTAAATGTACAAAGTGATATTGTCAATTATGAAGTGAACAATATGCTACAATAAGACTAATCAGCGAGACAGACCCAACAACAAGAAAAGGATAACCAAAAAAACTCATAAAATTGCAAAAACAGAAATTCACATTAGTAATTTAGTATTACTATATTTCCTTCATGCAGAAAAATAATTTCAGAAATCCTGTGTTTACATTTGACCATCCTTTTTCAAATAGAATCTGTTGGAAATTTGTGCTTCACAATCGTATATGAACTAAGCTAATTGGTTTTTGTTTAATGGTAAAAACTCAACTGCTTTGGCTCTTTGGTTTAGATGATTCCACCCTGCACATGAAATTTACTCTTCATAGATTAATAAAAATATGGAGCTAAAAGGCACACGGAAAAACAATTAATTTAAATTCAAGCGACTTTAGAATACAAAATTTAATTACATTTTCTCTTTTAAGAGTATGTCCAATACATAGTGAAAGATAGAAGGTCAAGACCAACATGGATAATGTAATTTATACCCTTCTATAATTACAATTTGGAAAATTTCTAAAATATTCTTGTGGTACCATTAACTCACTGCGACGGGCCAATTAAAGTTAAAAAAAGAATGTGTTAATTTTACGAGAAAGAGAGAATTTTTTTTTAATCTATATGTTATTTTTTGAATGAAAATCCCACGAATAACCGTGCACACTCTACAATTTGACTGAAGTATACAATTAACTTATTTTAAAACACTAGACAGTACAAATATACATAATTTTGTGCAGAATTGTGATTAAAGAAGTTTAAAATTAATAATAAACATTTATGATTTATTTGGTCATCTGACGTTAGATAGATACTCAATGATATTCAAGTTCAAGATCTCTCTCTCTCTCTCTTGCAGTAAATATATGTATGCATCATAAGTGAATGCAGAGATGGAACAGAAGCAGCAACTTCTCCTCTTCCCCTACCCTCTCTCTCTCTCTCTCTCTCTCTCTCTCTCTCTCTCTGGTCCAAAGTTGTTTCCCTAGTAAAAAGCATCCAAACACACTCTGCAACATATTTATTTGCATTAAGGCACCAAGCCCTATGCATATTGACTCACTCCTCTCATTGACTATCCTCATTTTCAGAGCTCAGACTTCAAGGTACACCATACATTTTTTAAAACACACAATCCACATTCAAGTTTGCTAAAAAACACTTTTGATAGAGAAAGAAAAAAAAAAAGGAGGAAAAAGGGGCACTACATCAGAGACCCTTAGTTTAGTACCCCCTCCTTCAAAGTAGAACTTCTTTTCTCTAAGCTTTATTTTTCTAAGTGTTTTTGGTGACCCTTTTTGAATCAGATCCAAAAAAGAAGCTTGTTTTGTTTCTTTCTTTATGGGGTTTTGAACCAATTATAAGTTTTCCATGCACGATCTGTGCCTTGAGAACATGAGGCTCATGAGTTGGGCTTGTTTCTCGCTCTTACTTTTGGTTCTGTTCTTGTTCAAAATCGCCTTTGCTGCTAATGGGTACGCAAAATCTCAAAGCTTTAGAACTGGGTCTATGTCAACAAAGCCTAGTCCTTTTCAAGGTTCAGGACAGAATTCAGGTGAAGATGGTAATGAAGCAGATTTTGGTGATGAAAAAAGGAAAATCTTCACTGGTCCTAATCCTTTGCATAACAGATAAGTGAGTGGACATTTATACAGAGGATTTTTTTTTTTTTTTCCTTTATTTCAAGCTGTCTCTGTAATCTGTATATATTTTTCTTTTTAAAGTTTTTTCACTTCTTTAATGTTCTTTTTCTCCCCCTCTTTTCTTCTTATGAGAGTTTGTGACTGATTTTTTATGGAGCTTCTTGTAGTGTACTATTGTCCATAACCATAAGAATGTTGATTTATGTTACATCCCATTATCATATAAAAGAATTTTGGCTTTTGAGTGGTTGGTTTAAGGTAATGGTTTCCATAATAGTTCTGCAATAATTGGATGATATGAAATCATGACACGAGACTAGAAGATTAGAAATGCATCATGTTTCATTTGGCTGGCATTTAATGTAGTTGTTGTAGGTACTGTTTAACAGCTTTTGTTAATGTTTGCCAATTTTTCTTTTTCTTTTATTTCCATGCAAGGTAAAAAAAAATAGGGTACGAAGACAGCTCCTAATTATTGTTAGCATCTGTAGTGTTTATATACATTATTTTAATTGTTAGTTAAATATGTTGTTAATATGACATAATTC